TATATTTATTTTTACATGTTGGGAATGAGGTTTTGTTCATATACATAACATTAGGGGGCGTATTTATAAACAATTCTCAGGGCCGCGTGCCAAACCCCCCACCCCTTGCGGATATCAGTGAACGTTCGCTCTGTGCCGGCGATGTGTATTTTCCAATGTGATTTGTGGTGTAATACCACATTATGGCCACTAGATGGAGCTAAGTATTTGTTTTCTCTGCTCCTCAGCGCCATCTAGTGGCCACATTGTGGTATTCGAAAATACATTGCCTTGTAAAGAACGTTCGCTTTGGCACATAGCCGCACCGATCGAACATCCATAGATATTTACAAACCCCCATTGTCATATTTGTATAGCTCCTGTTAAGCCTGTATTGCCACCCAACCCCAATATGAAATTCATTACATTTCCAACAATTTTTTAGGATTACTGAGTACGCGTTTTTGGGCGGTGATGTCACAAAAAAAGGACCCCTGCCAGAAAGCGGCTTGTGCGATTCAGAAGTGCCTGCAGGGTGAGAGGGACCGGGGAACGTTCTTGAAATTTAAAGTGAAAGGAGCACACTATCCCCCCTCCCCCCACTGTTGGCCAGTTAAGCACAAAGAGCCCGGGAACGAAGCCGGAGCTTTTTACATGCACAATTCTAGAAAATGCTGGAGGGGGAGGAGCATGTCAATGTAACCATCGCTGTACCCGGTGGTATCAATGGTTACATTTATATGCTCCTCCCCCTCCAGACTTCTCTAGAATTGCAACATTGTATCTCGTTACTAATGTAATTATTTCCTGTGATCCTCAGCGCCATCTAGTGGCCATTATGGGATGTTGGTGATCATGATGGAGGCTGAGCTGGGTGCTGTGATCACAGAGGCTGAGCAGGGTGATGTGGGGGGTATAAATGACCATGGGGGTTAACCCAGGTGATGAGATGGGTCAGTAATGTCTGACCTGGGTGACAAAGGTAGAGGGGGCTGTTGGTAATTGGGGCCGGATTACTGATTATGGGGGTGGACCCAGGTGATGAGGGGTGGGATTAGTGATCATGGGGGTGGAGCCAGGGGATATCGCTTTGTGTATGTTTGATAAAAGGGAATATAATTAGAACATTCGGTTTCCGTTCCCAGAGAACAATTACAAGGAGTCGCTGTGTCAGCCGGAACTTCAGGAAATGCGGATTTGTTGCTCCAGAATACTCCCCCAGAAGTCCGCCTGCTGCTCCGGATTCCACAGCCAGACGCCGACCGATGGGAAAACCGATCATCAATCCGTGAAGTGATCGCCGGACAGGTGGTGTATGGGAAGAAGAATGGCGGCAGCTGATGTGATTGGAAGATGAAGAACAATGGGGTACGGGAGGAAGAATTCTATGTGTATATAATAAACGCACATTGCTGTAGTCACATTGTATCACTTCTGATCCGTCCCAAAAAAAGTTCTGTATCCAGTACACAAAATGACATCCGGATAATAAAATATGATCCGATGTCCCATCGGGGGCACCTCTCAGCTGTTATCCGGTGACAGCCAGCAGCCGCCCACAGTGACAACGGCGAACATGGGGTAAAGGTTCTTCTACATGGGCCTCATGCTGGGGAATGTTATAGCTTGCAGGTAGGAAGAGATTAAAGGAGAACTATGGGGGTCAGTGTGTTTCCCCATAGCTCTTCTTAGGGTCACAGGACACAAACTAGCGTCCTCCCGTCACCCTATGCTCAGTATATTGCAAGCTACAGCTCTCTATATACCGAGACCGCCGCAGCTGAAGCGGATCCCCACAATTATGTCGGGATCCGCCCAGCTGCGTGAGTGACAGCTGGCTCTGCCTATCTAGAGGCAGAGCCATCTGTACCCGCCCCCTCCCCCGTCCATCCTGCCAGTCAGCGTGGGAGGATCGGAACGGGGAATCCATGGCCGGCCGTTTTTTTACTACGGCCGGCCCGGAGGTGGTTAAGGAAATATCTATTCTGGCCAATCACAGCCAGCAGGTGGAGGCCATAGTGACATCGCTGCTCTTCTTGAATCATGGAGGAACCTCCCAATGGAGGCCGCTGACCAGACGCTCGTGTTCAATGCACTGCACCAGGGGGGGGGGGAAGCCAAAATGCAGTCGTGGTGACACTACAAATCCCATGATGCATCTGTCTGAGAATGTTGCTATGCGTCATGGGATTTGTAGTTCCAACACAGCTGGAGGGGGCGGAGTTTGGCCACCACTGCACTACATGAAGAAGCAGAGCAGTAGCATTCCACAACAGCAACCCAATACCATTGAAAACTCAAGATCCTCCGATATCCATAGAGCACCCGGCTCCTGTGGTTGCACCCGCACCTATAGGCCCGTCGCTGTCATGGCCGTCCTTAAAGTGGAATTTAACTAAAAAATTGAAGCTTCAACATGTTATATGGAAAAACATGCGCGTGCCGATGGCGCCTAAGCAGGTCCCTTTAAAAAAAAAAAAACATTTTACTTCTCTGGAATTCCTCCTGAAAAAATCATCACTACAGTACTTGGTATGCGCGTGCCTACCGCCTCATAGCTGTGTATCTGCAGTGGGCGATCTATGGCACTGCTCGCCTTAGATTGGGTGACGTCCCTACTGTGCTGCTCACTGTTCTCCTTACCGGCGGCTCTGACCAGGAAGCAAAGCCCAATCTACCAAGATGGCCGCCGCCACCACCACACAGAGACAGTGCAGCACCAGGCAAGTCAGTAATATGGGAAGATCAGCTACATCCCGATGGGTGGTCCTTTGCTCCCAGACTTGGCACAGCTTCCTGAATTAAGTTCCTCCTTAATTAGGACAGGGGCGGGGACTAGGAAAGGGAGGGGCAGCATAGGGAACCAATCATGTGCTTTATGCCAAGGGTTATAAAAGCAGAGGAATGAGCCTCAGTAGTCTTCTACTGACCAGGCAAAAAGCTGAGAGAGGACGCTGATTTTTGGTCCCAATGGGATACAGCACTTCGGATAGGGTTGTCGGGGGCAACGTGGTCGCTCTTTGGTGTTCAGGGCACATCTGAAAAGAATGACATGACCGTGTGGCCCTCAGAGAGCTCAGCCAGGAGAGGGAGTTTTTGGAGCGCCCATGGACAGCGAAAGAGCAACGCATACAGCAGTGGCTGAGTGGTTAGCGGGGGGTCCTTTGGTTGAATTCAGACATTGATACCTATCTGCATGGAGTTTGCATGTTCTCCCTGCACTTCTGTGGTCTTCCAGTTGACTCCCACAATCCAAAGACA